TAAACCGGGCTGCGCGCCTTTTGTTTGCCCGCCTCGGGTAAATAATCGTAACGCCTGGGAGTCACGTAGTTCGGCGTTGCGCTGTTGGGTTTTTCCACGTACCGGGATGTCGTACGCTGGAAACAGGGTCACGAAGGTCCCCCGCTAAAAGTTGGGAGGGAGAAAAGAACGCAGTTCTCCCAACTGGGTTTTGTATCGAGCTGACGCGCTGTTTCCCTTCTCTCCCCAGGCTGTGAAAGAACGTTTATCACAGTGAGTGCGTTATTCTCCCATAATCGAGCCCACTACAGAGAGCAAGAGCAGTTTTCCTGTTCGTTCCCTGGCTGTAACAAGCAGTATGACAAAGCCTGCCGACTGAAAATCCACATGAGGAGTCACACAGGTATTCATGAGGGTGACTTGTACCTGGGCAAGTACATGCAAGATAGTATGTGGGGAGCGGACTCAGTTTGCTGGAAGAACTGAAAGTCGTGAAGGGAGAATGGGTGACAGGAGTTATTTGGGGTCAGTGAAAACATTTGGTTCTTGGCCTTCTGGGGGGTAGGAGTCCACTGAATGAACTTGCCAAAGGCAACGTGGCTACGAACATGCAAAGCTGTGGCTTTAGGCGCCTGAACTCTGTTCAGAAAAATTATCCCAGCTCTATTCCCAAGTTCGTAAACATTCAAAACTGTGTAAATTCTGATCTTGGTCAGAACAAACGGCTAAAAAACTCTCAGAACATGTGGAATGTTATGTACCAGGGTTTGGAACAGCAAGAAGATAAATTTCAACTCAGGCACTCCTGACTTGCAAGGACCACTGCTAAACTGACATCCAGCCTTTTAATGTTTTAAAGACAATTGTGTATAGTCTCTACTGTCCTCTGTTTTTCTGGTTTCGTGGCTTTACAGTGTGGGTTTTGTTGTGTTTTGGGGTTTTTTTAAGTGTCATTTTTCTTAAGTTCATAGATGTGATGGAAACCAACCACGGAGTTCACTGTATTGTAATCAACATATAGTCACAGGTCGTGAAAACAGGAAAAAACATTTCAGTTGCGTTTCTGTTTTGAATAATGCTGTTATTGGTTATTGAAGCACCTTCAAGATAACTCGGATTAATATGAGATAGATTGATAATTATCTATGCACCCTGATGCATACGGAAGGATGCAATGGCCTTGAGTTAAAGAAGGCGCGGATTGTACGAGAGGGAAGGGGCATCACAGCACCCTGTGGTGAATTGCAGGAGAGGGTGGTTGAGTCTTCTTGTCTTAAATTAATTCAATTTAAGCAGCTTTAGAGATTTTCTAGTAGCAGCATGTATTTCCGTATTAGATTATTAATGTAACCTTTCTTTGTTTAAGGTGAAAGGCCTTTCATCTGTGACTTCGAAGGTTGTGGCTGGTCTTTCACCAGTATGTCCAAGCTGCTGAGACATAAAAGGTAGCCTTTTCTGATTATACTGTCCTAAGTCACTTGCTGTTTGTTTGTTTTTCTTCCAGTACTTAAGCAGCAGTGGATTAAATCATGCCAATGGCAATTTCCTTCCCTTGTAGGAAACATGAAGATGACAGGAGATTTATGTGCCCAGTAGAAGGCTGTGGGAAGTCCTTCACAAGAGCAGAACACTTGAAAGGCCACAGTATAACTCACCTTGGTACAAAACCATTCGAGTGTCCAGTAGAAGGTATTGTTCTACTCTTGTGTGTGTTAACTGGTAACCAGTGTGTATATTGCCTAAAGATTGTGTGCGTTTTCCCCAAATGCAAGCTCATTACAGGATTGGAACAATTTAGATGAGTCTTCTAACAGAGTTTGAAGAGGTACGACTAAACAGAAGACATTGTAACTGAATGAGTGATTGTTCTGAAATTTATGGATGGATTGCAGAGAAAACATTGGTTCATGCTCTAGCTTGATTTTTTTTTTCTTTTTTTTTTCCTTTATGATGAACAGGACTACTTTATTCTGGAAAATCATACTTCTGATACTCAGCTTGTGTAGCTCAGCTTTTTCACTTGATTAATCAGAAGTAGTGAAAAGTGGTCTTGTTCAACGCCTTCAAGGCATTGTTTTTGCTGTTGCGACATGTCATCTCAAGTGTTCAATGGTTGTGCTGTGGTAGCCTCTGCTGCTGAGATGGTGGATGGCTGTGTGACTGGTATCTGTTCTGGTCATATGGAAGGCTTGCTGATGCTCCGAGGGTTTCTTGGCACTACCTCCATCACTTTGGTAGGACTCCAGGAGCAAAGATTTTGGATCTGATCTGGAATATTTTGCTTCATAAAGTAAAGCAGCTCTACTTGGTGATTGTTTCTCCTTTTAATGGTTTTGCCAGCAGTTGTCATGAAGAGTTTACATTTGACATGCCATAGTGGAGAAAGGTTGTGCATTACACTGAATGACTTAAGAGTTTCTTGTTGTCAGAAACAGATTGTTGAACTATCCTACCCACTGAGATGTCCTTGAGGTAACACGAGGAAATGCATATTTGGCTTTCTTCTGACTCCTCTGAATGTATGCACAGGTGCTGCAAAATTGCAAATAGAGTTCTGCAGAGCTGCTCTGATTTGTTTTGTTAAGACAGTAAATACGGACATCAGACTGAAATTAGATGAAACTTTAAAGTCTTGTATATCTTCTTGCAGGCTGTTCTGCAAAATTTTCAGCACGAAGTAGCCTGTATATTCACTCCAAAAAGCATCTTCAGGATGTGGACTCATTAAAGACTCGTTGCCCTGTATCCAGCTGTAATAAATTGTTCACTTCCAAACATAGTATGAAGACACACATGGTCAAACAGCATAACTTCAGCCCAGGTAAAGTATTTGTTTCAAACTGTAGAGGGTGCAATGGAAAAACTAAATGTTTTGTTAAGGAAAATGTGTATTTACTGATGTTGAAATATGAGCCCCATTGATATGAATGGCAGAATCATCACCAAGACTGCAGTTGGTTTTCCCCCCACTAAAATTTTCAGTGGGACCTGTAACTGAGTATCAGAAGGCGAGACTTGAGCCTGACCTGCGTGAAATTGTTAGAAGTTGCAGCTTTTTTGAATGAAGTAGAGCTTGTCCTTCTCCATGCCATCTGTAAAATATGAGGAAGGACTGAAAGCACTTCTTTTTGCACTCCTTTTTCCACTCCTTTACAACCTAACTTAGTCTGGACTGCCTGCCTTTTGGCAAGTGCTTTTGTAACTGAAATTTCTCAATAAAGGAGTGAACTCATTTCAGTAAGCTTCTTTTCCTTAAATGTGCTTTCAGGGAATTTGGGAAGTGTTTTAGTAGGCTGAGAATCTAGAGTTCAAAGCTTCCTCCTTTGAGCATTCATATTTTTTCCTCCCCATTGTCTGATGAAAGGTCTGTCTTATAACCAAACCCTTCTCTTCCAGATCTCCTAACTCAGCTTGAAGCAACCAGCTCACTCACACCCAGCAGTGAACTCACTAGTCCGGGACAGAGTGATCTCAGCAACATAGACCTTGTATCCCTCTTCTCCAACGTGTCTAGTAACAATTCTGGAATTGCAACAGACATGGCGCTGGTGAACTCTGGAATCGTCACGATCGATGTTGCTTCGGTGGGCTCAACGCTTGGAGGAAACCTACCTGTCAGTAACAATTCTTTAAGCCAAGCAGTCGATCCCTTGATACTGGTGGCTAGCAGCGATATGCCGCAAAGCTTGGACAGTTCTCTCTTGCTGGGAACCAGTGCAACAGTTCTACAGCAAAGCACTTTAAATTTGGATGACGTACAGACTGTCAATGCAGAAGCCTTGGGTTCGCTAGCATCCCTGTCGGTGAGGAATTCCGGTCAAGATGTGCATGGTTTGACGTCCAGCAATAATTTAACAATCGACACAGCCACTTTGACTCCTTCTAGTAGCCTCGGCGGTACCAATGTGCCTGAGTTACTAACACCAACTAAAGTTGAACGTAATTTGCTTCCTAGCTCGGACGTTGTTAGTCAACAAGAGGGCAGCAAAGTAGTGACGCAGTTCGTCTTCTCCAACCCTCCAGGGAGCTACAGTGCACAGAAAGAAATGGATCTTGGCACAGTGACTGGCAGCTCATTTTTGGTATGCAGTAACTGTATTCATTTTTCCCCTAGATGACTGAGACACCCTGACTTTGGAGGTATCCATTGCTACTTATAGCTTATAGAGAGACCTTTCTCTCAGATTCTGCAGATCATGCGTTTTGACTTTTTTTGATGAGGGATGTAGAATGTTATGTTGAATAATGTGTTGTCAGTAGATTCAGTGTGGTGATAAGTTCTCTTAAGAAATACTAGAATTCTGGTGGGGAGAGTTAAGGGAGAACCTTTCAAAATAAGGGATTGAAAAATAAGCGGCCATCTGTCTGAGGATGAAGTGGAATTTACAGGAATACCCACGAATACATGGTATGTCTTGTGCATTTCATTCCAGGGAAAGATTTGTGCTGGGAGAGTGACTGAGACATTTTCGTCTCAGTCCTCATCCCTGTTTTAGGTACACTTCCCTTTCTGCTTTACTACATTACTGCAGACTTAGCTTTCTATTTACATGACAAAGTAAATGTTTACACTGTTAAAATCTGAACACTTACAAATGTGGAGCTAACTTCTTTTTGTGTTGAACTCTGGATATTAAGTATATACGGGGAATTTATTGAAACTCTAATCAGAAGAGCATGGGAAACTAGAATTCAGTGTTTGCAGTATAAAAGATAACTGTAACTGAGAACTCATTAGTCTGCATTCATTGTATTGGTTTGTTCTTGCATTCAAAAAACTTTGTATCTCTTGGCTTTTTTTTTTTTACTAGGAGAGCAGTGGGTCTGCAAGAACAGACTACAGAGCCATTCAGCTAGCCAAGAAAAGAAAACAAAAAGGGAATGGGAGCAGCACAGGTGAGAAGCCATAAATTTTGTTAAATTTACTAAATACAATTATTTAGGGGTTTTGGCAGTGAAATGGGAGTAGGTATCTGAGTACATTCTTAAATATCCCATCTGGTTTATTGCTAGTTAAAATAATTATGCATGTGGTATACCATCTGTTACTCAGGATAATCACGTTCTGTGGAATATCAAATTCATAGTAAGTTTACAAAGAAATCTGCACCATATGTTTCATGACTGTTAACAAGACGCTATCCCTCCATCTCTTCATCTGCTTTTTATTTTCTTATTAAAACAAAAAAAATTCAAGGTCACTTTGTGTTGTTTATGCTTTTGGTCTTACCTAGTGACTTCTCTTTTACTCAGTACAGACAATGAAAACATTGACTGGATTTGTTTTGCTTCTGTGTTTCACTTAGTAACAGCGTGTATGCAGCGTTAAGGAATTTATTTCTTCGTTGTCTAGAAATACTCAAACCTCTCTCTTAGGTTTTAGCCTTGTAGAGAGTTCTTGTGCAGGGCGAGGTTTAGGTCGTGATTCCAGATGCGTCCTCTTTCTCTTAAACTGTAGTTTGACTCCAAAGCTGTCTGATGTGAATTATACACCGTTACTTTGTCAGATCAAACATGGTCCGTGGCTCACTAGACTTGCACAAGCTCAGGTGTTTGAGTTGTGTCTACCCTTGGGGCTTACATATGATTCATAATATTGCTTATATGTATATATAGTTTAGTTCTTCCTTGCTGTCTCTTAGACCTTCCACCTCTGAAAATCAAGGTGATAATTTTTCAGGTGAGTTAAGAGACTAGTTCTGAGTTGAGCACTGTCATGTTTCTATATTTGTAAAAGACATACTTGCATACATCCTGTCTAGTTCAGTGAATCATCACACTGAAGGATAACTGCTGTATGAAGCTAGTTCTAAGTGTGTTTGTATTATCAAATGTGCACGTATCATCAAACATGTCTTTTGGACATTAGTTTAAAAAGATGATTGCACTTAATCTGCATGTCTCTTAAAATGACCACAGAAAATTCCTATTTCTGTTCCTACTCAAGACTCCCAGTAGTCCACTTTTCACCAACTGTTGTCTTAATGCTTCTGTGTGGTTCTCAAAGTGGTCTAAAGAGTCTTGTATTTCTAATTGGTTTAACTAGGTTGAATGAACGCTGTAGAGGGAAGTTCAGTGTTTAAAAAGAAGTTATCCAAGCCTTTTATTTACTACACATTTAAAAAACAAGAAAACCATCCCTGAAACAGCTGTCAGGATTGTATCCTTACATTTATTTAGATTAGGTTTTTGGTTTTCAGCTTGTGATACAAGCAGCTGGTTTGTCTTGTTTTAAACTGAAAAATGCTTAAGGTTGGGAGAGCTGTACTTCTGTAGCCCGTTCTACCTAACAGTCCTTGAAATCTGTCTGGAAATAGATGAGCTTCACTATGCTTTTTTTACAGTTTGGAAAAATGATATACATGATTTCTCAGGAAATGAGTTGCACAATTAAAAATAGAAAATGCAGTTCTACTTCCTAATTCCTTCCTATAATTCCACAAATATGCTTATATTTCTGTGCTACCACAGGGGTGAGCCCTAAGCTTAGCAGTTTGTGATGTGGTTTTAATGGCATTCATGTAAAAAGATGCTCAGTCAGCAGTTGGAGTTCATCAGCTGATTGCTCTCTGGCCTTTTAGCAGTTGTCAGATGGTGCTTAATTATATTGCACTCTTCCAAACGTTAGCTGTGTAGTGTCAATAACTGCATAAAATTGAAAAATACTAGCAGGAAACTTCAGCAAATTGCTTCTGACCATCTCAATGTTAAAATTCCTGTCTTTTAGGGGCATCTGGCTCTGGTCAGAGGAAAACCAAGGGTGGTAAAGTAAGCCCTACCAACTTCTCATCGTCCACTCCTGGCAGTCGGCTGGGTGGCAACATAGTTTTGCCAAATGGAGGGCTGACAATAAGGGACCCTGCCACTGGAGCCCAGTATGTGCAAATTCAGCTTCTTCAGGTAAGAGCTGCAGAGGAAAAACATGCTAATCTTCTCCGTTACCCAAACTGGCACATTTAGGGAAGAATCTATCTGTGAACTCAGGTACTACTGCCCCTAGGTGGGATCTTGAGATCTGCAGTATGTACCATACTGCATTAGGGCATTTGCCTGCAAGAAGTACTTTCCTGGGAAGTTTATATGAAACAGGCTTTAGAGAGATCTAGAAATGCCTGAAAAAGAGCTGGTTCAATCATACAACTGCTGGGGGCCCAAACAGATGCACTGTGGAAATGGGTAAGATGTTTTTATTTGGTTTAGTACTAATATTCAGTCCAGCCTGGAACATATGGGCACTGTAACTGTAGGGAATTATCCTGTACAGCTTCTTAGGCTGGATACACTTGATGCGGGAAACACTGTGGTGGAACTAAGGGTTTTAGCAGACTTCCATTTTGCATGTGAGAGTTGTGATCCTTCAAGGACTTAGGAATTTCCTAGTTTGGACAGGCAGTTATGAGAGCAGCAAAACAGATGCTACAGTCCTGTCCCAAAGTATGGGGTAATTTTTCTTGCAAAAGGAAGGGATTACTAACATGCATTAACTTAGGGGGTCCATGGGAGTATGACTCTTTCCTCCAGTCATCTTCTTTATTGACACCCTCACAAATTCTTACATTAGTCCACCCCTCTCTCACATAGAAGGTAAGTGAGACTGACATGAAAAGATTCCTGCAAAATGAAGTTTCAGCCTAAACTGTTACTTCTCTAAACTGTTGAAATAAAGCTTAAGATTTTTTTTTCTAAGAATACCTGGTAATCGATGTGGGCTGATGAGTGGAGCATGGTAGGTAATATGCTTTTGGCCAAGTGTATATCTGTATAGTATCCAGAGAGAGGGTAAGTTTCTTCCACTTTATTCCTAACAATGTGTGGTATGGTGGAAGCTATGGACAGAGTTCTCCATCTAGTTTTCTGATGGGTGTAAACATTTGTAACTTTTATGTTAAGTATCAGCTTCACACAAGATGATGAAACTTGTTGCGTATTTCTGAGTGTTATGTTTGTTGGAAGATGAACCATTCCTTCCTTTTCAGATCTTGCCAGTTTTCCTGGTTGATTATAATAGGATAATAGGTCGTACACTGAGCTAGGCTCAGATTTAAGTGGTAGTTAGCTTTCCACATATCTTTGTGGGTCTAGCCCTTACTAGTACAGTGCAGTAGCTTTATCAGCTTTTTATAAGATTGTGAGGCTGAGTGAGATTAGGCATATTGTGCTGAGATGCTTGGGGGTCTTGTAATTGCATCACATTTCTGCATTCACAGGATGATTCCCCGGGAGAGGGAGATTTGCCCTTTCAGCTGAGCTCTCAGTCCTCCTCGTCACATTCTCAGCTTACAGTGGATTTACCTGTTCACATACTTCAGGTACAGCATGTCAGAGCCATTGGGTTTTATTGCCTAGCTTGAAAGTGAAGACAGTTTACTGTGAACACTCTGGTGTTCTGCCTAATGAAAATGCCTTGTTTTCCATTGGGAGTTTAATTTCGAAGCAGAAAGCTGCACTGCAAGATTTATCTTGTGTATGTTACCAGCCTTCGACATGTCATAGGTCGTTGTTTTTCTTCCTCTGTTACAGAGTAATGAATAACTAAATGTTACTCATTTATTGCTGAAGTGCCCCATCCCTGTTTTCCTGATCCCATCCTGCAGATACTAAGTGGCTCAAGAAAGAAGATCAGAATTGATTATGTCACAGGCTACAGGAAGGGTGGGAAGTGGGAAATAAAATCCTGAGCCTAGATTTCAGAGCAGTGTCTATATGGGAATGGCAGTTAGATTAAAAAGCCTGCTTGCTTCTACAGTCTCTGGTTTCACTACTTGCCCTTGGTTAACTACTGAGTGTCAGTGTTGTTTGAACGCAGAAAGCTTCATATAGCTTCTTGCGTAAACATTTTGTTATCTGCTGTTCCAGTAAACTGCATGTTAGTGAACAGGAGCAGCTGAGAATTGAGCAGCAATGAATGATTAGCATGTACGTAAATCATGTTTTCTACTTGACCATGTGGGGCTTTGGTTTTGATAAACTCTGCAATGCAGTTATTCTTACTGCGTGTGCTTCTCCCGGATAGAAAATAAAGCTTTTGTATTTAAGAGGAGCATCTTACCGTGATAAACCTGGAAATACAAGAAGAGTACTAGGATTCTTGGCCACGGTAGAGAGTTAATAGAGGAAAAGCAAATAGTCAGTGATTTTAAATTTGTCTCCATTAGTAATGCTCATCTGAAGTGTTCCAAAGAAAAACTGTAGCGATACTGTTTGAGTGTGTCCCCAAAGTAGGAAAGCTTTGCGTTTCCTCTAAACCATGCAGAGCATTTCTCTGGTGTTGGATAAATGTCAAGGTAATCTTACTCCTAAGCGTTACAAGCATCTAGAGGTGAAAGCACTGAACTCTTCATGCTGTCTGTTTGCTTTAACAGGAACCACACAATTCCACTGAAGATGATGCAGGTTCTGATAACTCTCAGTTCACTGGAAGCACAATAAACTTACAGGATCTGGAATGACCATTATTAAGAACAGTTACTTGAAAACAGATTGGGCAATCATGTCTTAACAGAGTGAGATAACTGTGTGGGTCTTTCTCCAAGGAAAATAGGAAAACCAGGAGTACTGGATTCTGGTTGCACTCTTTGCAATTTGCTAAGGACAGTTGCAGCTGAAAGATTTTCTTAAAAAAATGTAAATCCCACTTGATGTGCCTGTGTAAGATACCCTGTCTGCCTGGTGTTGGAGAGACTGAGGCAGACTGCTGTACAGTGTTGTTTCAGGGAGAAGTACTGTATTAAACTTCAAACTGAGGTAATATTTACTGTTTTCACAGGAAAGCAAGTATTCTACAGCTAACAAGTACAAATTTATGATCCTGCCTATGACAGTTAAAACTTTCCTTCCATTGGTCTCCTGCTGGAGCCAGTGGCATTGAGGAATTAAGAGCTAAAATTTGGAAGTGTTTTCCACACACACAAAAAAAATAATTTTTCGGCCCCTGTGTTTTGGCAGAAAACTGGAATGTAATACGTAACAAAATTAATGTCCTACGCCATGAAAATGAGATGCTCTAAAATCTTTTTTTAGAAAGTTAGACTCTAAATGTTAACTTAGCTGTGAATCAGTTTGTAGCTCATGTTGAGTTTCTCCCTTTCCTTGCTCCTGTGTCCCAAATACTTTGCTGAATTCTTCCAGCAAAACTTTAAGAAGAAAACTGCAATAGATCTGTACTCACTGTAAGTGATTATCTAAGAGTCCAACAGCATCTGAGAGGTTTGTTTTATGTTTGTGTTCCCTTTTTTGGGAGGAATGTTGACTGTCACGTAAATTTAAGCACCTTGATTTTATCTCATCTATAAACTGCTGCCAAGTTACCTGTAAACTGGCCACTACCTTTTTATTTTGGGTTGTTTTGGTTTTTTTTCAATTGAACACTGTTAACACTTGTTCTTTATTGATATCCTAGAGTGTCACGTGCACGTGGAGCTTCCAGCTGGTTTACAGAATAAGCAGTTGTCAGAGTATTTTATGAGGGAAGAAGAATTGTTACGTAGGAAGATTTGCCCCACTGAAAAACAGCAGTTTCTCTTGGGGGCTGGAGGAGAGGTTATATGTACTGTACTTATCTGGATTGCAGACACATAAATAAATATAGGGTTGTATAGGAAAAAAAAACATGCTTTGGTTACATTTTACGGTAGTAATTTAAATGTTTCTTATGGTGATGTACTGAATGCCTGTAAAATTATGTATAGGAGTTTGATAAAAGGGTGTATGTACTGTTTTTTATTCTCAATGAGGTGTGTGTGTATGCACGTATGTGTATTTTTTTTACGAAATAAGATATGTCATGCAGGAGAACGTTGTGATCTTTCTAATCTTGCACATATTTATTTATTTTACAGTTATACTGATGTTGAATTCACACGAGGTCATTCAGAAATGCTTTTACTTCCTGTGCCTTTTGAACTATGTATGTGTCCAGATAAATGCTTTTTTGGTTGAAGACTTGGGGAGAAAAAAAGCATACAGGTTACATTCAACTTCAGATCCTGATTTGTAGGCAGTATTATATCCTCTGGTTGAACCAGTTTTATTTTTCTATCTTTAGCTGAACTGAGCATTGAGGTCTTTCTGTTCCCTCATCCTGAGTTTACAGCTTATGTCCAGGGAATCTCTTAACCCTCTCAGGTTGGGTTTTTGAACCAAACTAATTGGTAGATGAGATCTTCTACCTGGTGGCTGTGACTGCAGCATGGAATCCACTCCTGAGAGGTAGAAAGGTTGAGGAGGAATCATGCCGAAGGGACTACTGGGTCTTGCTCTAGTGGTCACCATGCTCTCTCTGGAAGCTGAGACACTTTTTGCTCCAAATGCCTGCATTATTCTGTTCTCAAGGACCATACCAGTTCTTAATCTATTAAAATGGCCAAGGAACACTCCATCTTTTTATGGGACTTGCAACCAAATCTTTCTACTTCTGAAAATGTACCTCACTCACTCAGCTTTGTAAGTGAATGTAAAGTGCTAACCTCTTGGGGCCGAAAATGGGATCACTTGGCTTGCACTCCATTGCTGGCAATGGATACCTGAAGAACTGCTGGTGCAAAAGGGTTAATAAAGCTTTTTTTTATTGTCCGTTTGTCACTGGGTATTGTTCTTTGTATGGCTGCACCTGACATGAAGCTAACTGTTAGCTTGATTTCTGCAGAACTTTTGTTTTTCCTTTGCCTGCGTCTTCTCCACAGTAGTGGGGTGGAGTCTATAATGAAACCCATCCTTTGGATTAAAGCATAGCCTTCATTTCTATAGTCCTTCAACAGATTTGCGATTATAATAAATGTCTGGCAGGTGCTTGGCTTAGTTGTGCCATGACAAAGATTGTTACCCATGTCTGCAATAGATCTCACTAGTCAGGTTTGTAGCGATAGTGCTGTTTGCATCAAAAACTGAATGAGAAAAGCATTGTTGCTAGCAAAATGAGAGATTTTGATTTATTTTCTTGGGTGAAAGATCAATAGAGGAGGGGGGAAAGGGGTTGCCTGCCACAGCAACTTTCCCTGGGATCTTTGGGTAGGAGGAGATCTTAGGGTAGGAGAAGAAGAGCGTTTCATGGGACTGTGAAGTTCAACAACTGGGCAAAGACTAACAATGTAGATCTATGAAAAACTTTCTGGAGCAGCATCAGCCCTACATGCTGTGGTTAAGGCTGTGCTGTCAAGTGAAATAATAGAGTTGTTCTTCCTTCTCCTTATCCATTTGTTCTTGGCTGTGCTTTCTCTTCTCCTTCCTGGCAGGTGGGCTGGAACGAAACATCAGCCTCCTGCTGCTCTGCAGAGGAAGAAGAGGTGTGTGCATCAGTGCTGTGTTGGCATAGCACGTTTGAACCACGCAGCTAAAGCTGCTTCATGCTGCCAGGCTCTCCCGCTGCATGGGGCCGTGGCACCTCGCTGTCTGTTTTCTAGGCAGGTTTCAGTGTTTTTTCTGTTAGAAAACGAGTATCAAGCACCTGAAGGCTGTGCGTGTGCTCATGCCTCAGCTTCTACAATGTACTGTTGCACCTGCGACTGGTTTCTGACTAAAGCCTTATTTGTACTGTCTTGAAGGGAAGGTGCAAGTCCAAAGAAATACCGGAGGGAGGTTGCAGAACCCTCGTATTTTACCTCGGGTAAAGGGGCAGGGACTGTTGGCAATCGCCCGTGCCGTCACTGGCTTGGTGTGTGACTGAGCACTGGGATGTCCTCGCTGTCGTGTTGACCTGGGAAATGTGCAGCAGGAGCCGTGGCCTGAAGCTCTGCGCTGTGCCTCCGAAGCAGCCAACGCTCAGTTTGGTGTAATGCGGAACATGCCAAAAATGGTATGGTTTGATGGTATGGGCTGACCTGATCTAGGGCCTTACTGCCATTTTGGGAGTGTCTTGCTGCTGCCCAGTCTCTCATTTGCTGATTTTCATGCTTTTTTTTAATACTGCCAAGTTAGCAAGTTGAAATGAGCTTACTGAGAAAATTGGCAAGTAATGGAAGGGGCCATGTGGTCAAGACAGACGGATAGGAGAAGGATGATGGAAGGACACTGAGCTGGAATAACTCGCTGTGTAACTGACTTCCCAGCAGTTGCTTAAGTTACATCAGTCCTGTAAATTGGGCTACACCTGAGTATGGTGCCATCCCCATGCAGCTATGGAGGCCCCTAATAACACTCCTCCCTTAAATGCTTGATGTTCAAGTATCCCCAGCTCCTCTGAAGTGGGCTGTTGAGGCAAGGTGTTCCTATGGATTGCTGTACTTACTATTTTTACAGGTGCCTGTGATCTTTCCAGGGCCCTTTGCAACCTTTCCTCCTGCTGCTGCTTCTGTTGTCTCAGCTTTTCCTCTCTGAGCCTTTTGAAGGGAGCAAATAAAGGATGGGTTAAATGCGGTGTACAGCTACACCAAATACGCTTTTGTCACACAGCATCAACAACTCACATTACGTCTTACTTTACATCTTACATCTTCCAGTGTGAGGCTGCTGGAGCCCAGGGGTTTGGGTATAGCTGACACTGGAGTTTGTTACTGTGATGGTGGTAAGAGGGAAACACTTGCTGCAGTTGGTCCTACTCTTTCTGGAGCGAGGGCTGGAAAAAGCATGTCAAGCTTTGCAAATGGAGATGTCAGATGGTTGTTCTCGGTTACAGACATGCTCTGTACCACCTTCAGCAGGTGACTTATGCTCTACGGTTGATCGGGATGCTTACCAGTTTTGTGGGTGAATGATGCTTATTGTGTTTTAAGTTCTCACCAGTGCAACCAATTCTGTAACGTACAGATGTGAGTAGGAGGGTTTTACATCCATGGAGCTCTGCTTGGCCTAAATGGGCACAGTGGTGGCTGATGCTGGTAACTGGCTCCAATTCTCTGTGGAAATGAAGCACTGGAGCAGAAATGGGCTGAAGCTAGGGAACACTGTGGTGGAGACTAAGTGAATTCTTAACCTTGTGATCTTCAGGAAAATTTTAAATGCTCTTTGAAGGGTTTTTTTGTTTGGTTGGTTTTGCTTTTTATTTGGGGGGCATGTGGGGGGGGATGTCAGATTCTTTCCTGAATTCTCCGTCCCCAGAGTAGAATAAATGTATGTCTTATTTCTTTTGTAAGTTAAGAGTGCAAAACTGTTCACAGAACATCAGGAAGAAGCATCAAACCCTTTCTACTACAAAGGTAAAGAGAGTAAGTTGGGGGGAAATATCACTGTTCTGGCTTTAAATCCTCACACTATTTTTGGGTTTTTTTCTCTGTTGGATCAGACTCACCTGAGGATGGCCTGATACAATCAACTGTTCAGTTGCACCTTTGCTACTTTTGAGGGGAAATTTCATGTGTGTAACTGAGCCAAAAGCAATGTGTCTCATTTCAGAACCTGAATTTTATGTGTTAACTGGCTTCTATTTAATTTAACGGTACAAGTTAAACTTAAGAGTTTTGTAGAAGAAACATTTGAAAGCTGGCATTGTGGACAAATGCCCTCATGTACCTATTGAAGCCTGACAAAGTATCAGGGCATGTCAGACTTTCAGTGTGTTAAATAACTACAGAGGAGTAATTTTCTATTTAATCAGTTTAAATATTGTGACTGCAAATTGTCTTAAAATGATGATTCTCATAATTGAATCTGGTTTTGTTTGGGGGTTTTTTTGTGTGTGGTTTTTTTTATTCTTCCAGATTTTGCCCTTTTCTAATGTATCTTGCAGGTCTTTTATAATGTGGCTGTGGGCTGCTGCTCACTGATTGGGAGGTGCAAGTACTATAAATGTGAAACCCTTACAGAAGTAAAATGGGATGGATTGGTCACGTGGGCTTTCAGATTGCTGTTACAGTTTCCTGGGTTGATCTGACAAATGTGACTCTTTCAGTGGCTTTGCTTTTGGCTGTCAACATTTAAAAATAGACACCCCATTTCCAGAAGAGGGTCTTGTCTTACCTTATCCTCCGTTCCTTTTTTTTGGCTTTCTCAGCCTGTTCTATCTTTGCTGGTGGGATTTTTTCCAGGTTGTCCAGTAAATCATTGAGCTGTTTTTCTATCACCATTAGCATCTGCACTGTCTGCAGGTTTGCCTCATTTTCTCCAGTGCAGTCGCAATAGACTTCCAGCACCTTCTTGTTCAGGCTTGTGAGCATTTTGTCCTAGAGATGAGAGGAGATGTGAGAGGCACGGCTGGGTTCTGCCCAGTAGAACCACAACATCCTTCCAAAAGCAAAGGAAATCAGTACAATTTAATTCCCTCAATAAGACTCAGTTGCTTGTTTCCCAGTTTGCTTAGCACCAGTGCCTGGGACAGATGGCTGTACTGAGCCGTTCTTCTGTTGGTCTCATCTTCCCAGCTTTGCTGTGGCCTGGGACAGGTTGCAGCTGCCCGGTTGCCTCTGTGAGCCCTACTCCCACCTCGTAGCACCTGCATGGAGCAGGCACATTTGCCACGGTTTGCTGCCTCAGCAGTGCCCCAAACCTGCCCTTGCTGTAGCTCCATTGCTGAGAAACTGTGCTGATCCCTCCCCAGTGCGACCCACTGCTTTTTTTCCCCGAAATGGGTACGGCTGGCAGAGAAGAACCATTTACGCACACGCTAACGCCCCTTGCCTTCATCTCAGGATGTACCTGGTCATCAGCTTTGCATTCTCCAGAGGAAAAGAGGTGAACTTTGAGTTTCAGATCTGCTACTCTCTCTTCTTCCTTGGCAATGGAAGATTTGAGGGTGTCTACCTGCTGTTTCAGCTCTGCTAACTCCTTCTCCCTAGGCCAGAAGAGAAAGGAGATTATTTCGAAAGGGCATCTTTGAAACACACGACTCCCCTGCTGCTTTCCAGCCTGGGACCGTCCCTCCTGCTGCCAGCAGATGGAGGTAACACTTCATGTCATTTCTGGGACACTTGCACCCACAGCTCTGCGAGCAGAGGGAACTTGTGATTTTTCTGGAATAACAGTTACTGTGCTGGTGTGGGGGAGGGATAAGTAGCATAGCTAAACATTCAGGATTTTTTAATAAGTTAATGGGGGAAGTAGATTACCTTTAAGAACTTTCACAAGTGGATAAGCTACACTTCAAATGGGAATATGTGTGTCTACCTGCCATAGAAATACTATATCGCAATTAGACTGGGGTTCCCTGCTGGCTTCCTCTAGGAAGGGTTGGCATTGAGTTGAAATAGGTGCTGGTCTGGATCACTCCAGGACATGCCTTGTTTCTTCCTTTGATCTTTCTTTATGAGAATTACACCATACTTCTGGCTTATGTCCACTCCAGCACGCTAAATGCATCAGTTCCCCAGCCTGTGCCTTGAGGACTAAGGAACTAGTGCCAAGCCCAAGTCCTCTCCTAAATTACATAGATGGGACGCTTTCCTAGGAGCTCACAAGATGGTGAGTTGGATGGGCTGCAGCTGGGCTCTAAGGTGTGAGAAAGAGACTCTCTGTTGTGTGTTGCGTGAACAGCCCGATGTGTGCTCTGCAGCATGCAGCCTGATGGTGAGGTACTAGTGGGGGGAAGAGGGGGTCACTTATGTTTGAAAGCTGGGGCACAGGGACCCCTTCCCACCACTTGTAGGATCACACTTACGTGCTTTCATGTGTAGTGATGAAAGTATGTTGGACCTTGTCCAAACTTTCCTCCATCTCCTGGGAATTCTGGATGAAGGACAAGTTCTCTTCCTCCATCTCCATGAAAATAGACAGCAGTTGTTGGGGATCAGTAAAATACAATTCAGGCTCCTGAAGTGGAAAACACACGTGATGAGGTTTTGTCCTCCTCTAACGTCTTTTGCATTGAACTACATGGAGGTTGGTCTGCACCAGCCCTGGCTGTTCAAATGCTCTCCTATGTAGCGAGGTCTGTGACTGTCCACTTAGAAATGTCTCCCACCTTCCTGCCATGTGTGTAGCTTTATGCTGCCTCAGTAGCTCACACCCAAAACAAGTTGCATTTTGGGGAATAAAACATGGTGCAAACATCTGTGAGTGGGAAAACTTCCATTTCAGACATAAAACGGTAACTTCACTAGTTTCAAAATCTCCCATTATATGACATCATATCTTGTTGGGGGATGGCAAGCTTTGAGATGATAGTAGGTTTTTGGAAAGTGGAAGAGGAGAGTTAAACTAAAGTATTTATAACAGGTGTTGCTAAAATATGAACATTTATGAATGTATAAACATACATTTATAATTAGTGGCTACAGTAACTCCTCAATACCATAATGAATGGTTAGAAGGTGTGAGAAATTAGTAACATCAATAAAAGACAGGACAAACAGAAAGTGTAAATAGTTCAACATGAGACTTCTGACCTCATCTTCATCCGAGCAGGTTTCGCTTTCTGCATCCTCCAAGGAACTTCTGAAAAAGCATTTTTGTGTATCAGGCCCTTAGAGAAATGATAGCTCAAAGGAGACCTTGTTAGTGAATTAGGAACACTGTTGTTGTTTGCTGTTGCTCTTTGCTCCTGAACGGTCCTTTGTACATTCACATGTTTGGCCCCCTGTGGCTGTGGGCTATTTGGGGGTCAGTAGGAGCGAGGGGTCACACAAACATGCAGCATGGGAGCTATGTCTGTCCACAAGCAAGCTGCCTTTTGATCTGCTCCGGGCTCTGCTGCCCAGCAGGGTCAGGACATGACGCATGAGCCTGAACTGGGAGTGTTGATCCAAATGCCTTTAAACTCGATGGGAGGCTTTGGCTCTTGGGCAATGAGAAGGCAGAGGTAAGAGCCTTATTAAAAAGGCTTAGGCAGCAGCACAGCAAGTGTAGAGAAAGCCTTGTGCTCCGTGTGGGATATGGTACTGCTCCTAAACAACATGGTGTAGCCACCATAGGAGTCTGCAGTTTTTACCTGCCCTGGGAGAAGGTTGTTGAGTGCTTCTTCCTCTGCACAGCCTATTACCATTAACCAGCAGCATGGCCTCTTTCTTCCCTGCTCAGCCCCGGGGACAAGCTAGCGCAAGAGCTGGAAGAGCAGGGCAAGAGGTGCCCGACTGATGTTGGCAGCAGAGCCTGCCCATCACCTTCACTTGCATCTGTCACCCTGTGCCATAGAGGGGTGAAAAACCTCCATTTGCATCATCTTAGTGCCAGCCCCACTTGCGTCTGCATCGTTCCTGCCATGTGGCAGCAGCCCAGTAGTTGCAGTGCCTTCACGAGGGGTGGCACGCAGCAGCCCGCTTGGGAGAACCCGGCACCTGCAACGCTCTGAGTGGAGGTGGAGGAACTGGCCCTGCAAGCAATGACTTCAAACTCTATTGATAGCCGGGTTTTTTGGTCTTAGGAGACTCACCAGCCGCTCACGCTTTGCTTTTCCAGGCAATTGCTTTCTTTGCCTCAAGAAGCTGGAGCTGGTCCTAGCTGTCTCATACCCCACCTGCCTCTCCTCTGCTGGCCCTGCCTACGTTACAGCAGGGTTACTCTGCCTGCATCCCAGCACGTACTGTCCGAAGGCTCTTACTGAAAGTGGACAGTCAATGCAATGTGGGTCTACAGTGACCCTGGACCTTCATTAAAGGCAAAACGATAGGTGGCTATTTGCATGGCAGCTGTGACAGACAGTGGGAACCAGTATCTCGGCCACAAATAGGCTGCAGAGAAGCTCTGCTGCAGGACAAATGCCCAAGGTCTATGATTCCTCCTGGGGTTACCTCAAGACCCAAATTCTTTGGGCAGGCCTCTCAGCAGAGGATTTGAGGATGGGGTTCTGTCGGAGTAGGTACATAGGTACTGACTTGCACACCTGATGGCTTTCTACTGGTATTTTGATTTGTTCCAATAAGACTCAGATCTCAGTATGCCCGCAGCAAAGGTGAGGAGTAGGTTTCCTCTACACTGACCCCCCGTCAGTTGAGTGTTCTCTACAGTACTTAAGTCTGTTGTTTGCATTGTCTTGTACTTACAGTTTTCTTGTTGATAGAGGCTTCAGAAAGTTTTTGAGCTGTGGCCTGATCCCATGTAATGACCTGAAATCCAAACTTTTTGAAGACAGCAGGGAACTTGGCACATCTATATGACTGGTACCACAGGGACCGGTGGTGTTTGTCCCGGCTGTCAGACCCTGGCCTGGAGACAAGAAGAGATGTACGCTTAGAGCATGGGGCTGTCCCAGGGAGGAGTGGGCAGCTCTTCCCTGGCACTCACCCTGCTCTGCAGTGGTGGGAGGCAAGGCACTTTCTTCATTAGCTTTGGATGCTCTTTTCAAATCCTTTTCCTTTGCGTGCTTTTTTCCGTGTTCTTCCTGCCACTCTTTTGGAGATAGTTGGTAGAGGAAGTCCCTGTACATCTTGTACTCCTGCAGAGTATTCTTGAATCTGGATATATCACTGGGTTGAGAAAAGTGGGAAAAGTTTGTTAGCAGGGAGGAAAGCCCCTGTTTGAACAGGGTCTTTCTAACTCTTGACATTCAGCTTCACCCACAGAAGGGACAAGAGGGCACATGTCTTCATGGACATGCAAAGACAAATGGGAACCTGCCCTGTGTGCTCTCTGTAGTTCCTCATGTGGAAGCTGTCTGGTCACATCTCTGTGGCTGGACCCTTGCTAAGGCACTGGGAGTGCTAATTTGGGAATTTTTACTTGAAAATTAGTGAGAAATCTTGCCAGCTCGACTCATACTGGGAATTTTTTTTTTCTTTCCCCAGGTCATCATTAAAATGCATTACTTAGTTTTGTTCGGTTTTTGATCTGAGACTAGGGATTTAATTTTGGGGTTGGAATATTTATACTTTTAAAAAACACCATTTAAAAACTAGTTGAGTTGTTTTAGAAACAAAGCCAGCATCTGGAAAAACAAAAGCTGAAATATTTTGAGTCTTAAAATTGAACATTTTTAGAAATCTTTTTCCCTGATTCCCTTATTTCCCAAGGGCTGTAAGGGTAGAGCGCTGTAGGGGCTGTTAAAGGCTAGGCAGGAATAGTGTGCAACCATTACCTTTGGAGGTCCTCTATTTGGGAAGTGATCGCCTGGATCTCTGTTATTTTCTTTGTCTTTGCTGCAGTTTCTTTTTCGGCACTAGGGAAGAATGCATAAACGTAAGCCATAAAACAATTTAGCAGTAAGTGGGTAGTGAATTGAGGTGCATATAAAACAGACAAAAAGATGTGGGGGGAGCACTAGAAATCTCTCTTATAGATGTATCCCAGGTGATGCTTGGCTCCTGCCTGAAGGCCCTGCTTGTCTCGGCAAAGAGAGTGTGGGGTCCCCTGAACACTCCCAGGTTAAGGCCTCCCTAATTTGGCTGCTGCTGAGCTTCAATTGCCGCTTTGCCCTCGTGATACCTCTAATGGGCCAAAGAGCTCAACTTGCTTCACTTAGGGGACTGCTCCTGCTGTGAGGGGTTGGGCAGAAGCATCTCCCTCTCATAAGGGTGTTGTGAGAAGAATAGAAGTGGTGGGGTCAACAGCAGGTTCCTTGCTGCAGCCAAACCAAGGGCTTTTGCAATGATGGGATTCCCCAGCTGTTGTCCTTCCTCTTTTTCATTGAATGCGTGGGGAGGAAGTGCCATCAGCACTGTAACTCTGGGCAAACTCAGACACAGAGTATTTGCTAGCAAAAGCCCTGCAGGGAGGTCAAGCAAAAGACTCGTGTCAGCGCAAAAGAGCACATGGGTGGTTCCCTCAACTTCCATTACATTTTCAGGGCTTGAACAGAGTTTTTGTGGTTCTCCTTCAGGAACTCATCAAACATGGCAGCATCCTTCTCCAGGTAGTATTCAGCCTTTTCCAGTTTTCTTTCTTCATTCTTTGCTATGTTCTCCATCCTTTGAATCTCATCTCGCTTTACTGCCATGGCATACTGAAATGAACCCAAAAGGCAACACAGTCACATCAGTTGGTTGATTTTAAAGGTATGTTGGCTTAGCTTTGTTCTTGGTTACCTTATTACCCCATAGTTGTTGGTGGAGAGGGTAAGAATTTCAAACCAAGGTATGTGTCTTAATGCAAACTAGGTACATAGAGGCCAGAAGATATTTCAGAAGTAACATAGCAAATAAGCAGTGAAATTACAGATGGAATCCAGAAGTCCCAGCACTGCATTAACTCCTGGCTGACAAAGATTGATTCGGTTGTGTTACAGCACGATATTAGAGGTGAATAAGGGGGATATTCCAGCACAGCTCCCTTATTTTGAGTTCAGAATGGCTCCCAGCTATAATTTATGTATAGGGCAGCAGAAGCCAAAAGATCAGTATGTCTGTGCATCTCACAAATGAAATGGTTGCATGGCTGCTACTGGATGGTGCAAATGACCTATGTTCCTTTCTTTCTTGGTTGGGGATTGCTGGGCTCTAGACTATGATTATCTTTAACACAGGACTTGGACAATCAGTTCATGAGGTCTGATGTGCCTCCTTCGTATGATCTCTAGGCAATGCATCTCAGAGGGAAAAAATCATAACAAAGCAACACAGGGAAGAATAATTAAATTAACAGAAAGTAACATTCTTAAAGCCAAGTACCTCAAGTAAAAATATCTCTCTTCTGTCATTTATGTAGTCACGGAAGGTCTCCTTTTCTAATGGGTAATCTGAAATTAGGATATAAAGTTGATCAGACTAGAAGGGGAAATATGGCCAAGGTAGAACACAGTGAATATGTAGGCTACTGTGAGCATGGATGTGGTTGACATTGGAGCCAGCAATACTGTTTTTTTTAATATAGTTTTGACCTTGTTTAGGATCAGTTTCATATGGGCTTTTGTGGAGTAAAACCAGGTAGAATGGAGTGGAGCATCTGATCCTTACAAAGGTCAATGTCCTCTAGACATCAATGGCAAAGCTACTTCTCATGTCAGAGGCAGAAAATCTAGACCCACATCCACTAAAATCCAACTTTAGGTCAGCTTAGTAGAAATGTCTCCATGACATTTTTTTTCTGCAAACTTTCAGCTGACTCCTAGCTGATTCCAAGAGCTCCCAGCTACTGTGAAGGCCCCAGGGGATGGTGGAACCCAGGCTACTGCAGTGGTGGTGATACATGCTCCATATGTAAGTGCATGAGATGGAGATGGCCCAGCCACACAGAGGTTGGCAAGATGCAGCATATAACTATTGTGTCTGCAAGAGCTCACCAGTCAGCTAGAGCTAACTGCTACTCCCATCCCCTCTTTGATTTTTGCTTTAGGCTGTTACCCATCTGAGCAGCACCACTACAAAGATAGTGACTGTTCCCCACCTTTTTTAATGGCTATCTTCCATGAAAGACTCTCCTGAAGAGTTTTCAGTCTCTCTTCATTTGTTTCCTGTTTTCTGGCCTCCTCTTCTTCCTCCTTTTGCAGAGCTTTCCTGAACCCTTTTTGCTTTGCTTTTATTTTAGTGGAGTAAGTCATTTTCTCATGGATATTCATGGTCTTCATCCTTTCACGTTCCTATGAGAAGTCAGTTATGTGGACAGTTTGATTGCATGCTTTGTTTGCTGTGGTTTTTAAAGACATGAGTGGTTATTCACAGTCTAGAAATTTGCAGGCTACTGATACCCTGCTGATGCATGTTTGCCTGGTTTATCTGACTAATCCCAATGATATTCTCTCTTGAGGCAACCAAAACATTTCATGTCTTAGTGTTTGTTCTCACTGGTTTCTTGATTTGTATTCTGCATCCAGCCACCAGCTGTGCCAGTTCGTACCTACACAGTGTCCTCATTTTTCCTTCCTGGATTATTCCTGGGAGAGAATGGAAATATTTGGAGATTCATCCTTCAAGTCCCCTAGTGAAAGGGAACAACAGGACAGCCCAATGTTCAATACCAACTCAGTCTAACTTGCACAAAGGCATGTAAACCTTCAAGTTCAGATTGAGAGGATCTATTCAAACCCACTCCAGAGTTTTCTGGAGTGTAAAAGGTTGTTAATGCTCAGTGCTTTCATGTGGGCTGAAGTGTAATTCATTGCTGTCTGCACAGCTTGGGCATGGGTTAAGCTAAGGACATCAGTCAGCAGACATCCTTAGTGCACTTCTTCCTAAGCCCTTCCTCATACTTAATATATTAACCTTCAACCCAAGCAAAAACCAGACTATACCAGTCATCAGTGTGAGGTGAGGAGGCTTGCTTAACCCTGTTTGGAGCCCTCCCTTTGTGATTTAGAAACAAAGACCTCTTGCTTCCACACTACAGCCTGGCTTTGGCAACCACGTGCAACAATCAGACCTCTCAGAGATGCGACAACATCTCCGTGGCTTCCCACCCCCTTTGGACTGCATGCCCTAAGGAAAGGCCATTGCAGAAATAAGAAAGAAAAAGACATTCCTGAGACCCAGCTCTGGTCTGGTGGTTTGCAATTCCCTATCATAAGGAGAGAAACCTAAGGCATGAAACCCATGGCATCCTTCTTCCTAGGCATTCATTTCATTGGCAGTTCAGAAGAAGGTCACACCAAACATTGGAATACAGCTTCCCAGGCAGAAAGCCAAGCCTGTTGAAGTGGAAAGCAAGAGATCTTGCACCAAAGCTTTATGTAGAAATCAGTGCTAACAGCACTGGCAGGTATCTTCTCCAAGAACAGGAATGAGTGGTAAATCTACCTTGAAGTAAGTAAACAAAGTGACAATATCCAGATTTTGCGCTAGCAACCAGCAAGCCTGTGCTCAGATCTGCTCTTGGTGAAGTTAATCTCTCATCATGGAATTCAGTGGACTTGAAGCTGGTCTGGGGGAATCCCAGCTGAATTTGGCAGCTATTATTTCTCTCGTGCACTAAATTTTGGTATTATATTGGTTGGTTGCCTGCCCTAGTGAACTGTTTGTATATACATTGGCCTAAAGCATGTATACATACCGCCTTAGCCTTTTTTCTTTCCTTGTCCCTTATTGAAAAAATATCAACATCTGGAGGAATTGTAAATGGATTTTTCATTGGGTTTTCTTCATCCTCTTCCGGGCTTTCTGCAAAAATTGGATGAAGATGTAGAAGATGTGAGGCAGAGTATTAGGACCCAGTGAAAAGGGACTCTGATGTGCTGCATCATGCCTGAAGGGGGGGCAGCTGTGCTCACAGCTGCAGATGTCTAAATGCTGAATCAAGAGCAGGGAGCTAGATAGAGCTTATAAGAAGCCAGTGGTGTTACTGAGGTTTTTATATTGTTTATGCCACTTGACCATATTTGCTGATCAACTCAGTGTTTCAGCCAGGGATTTTTGTAAGTCTGGAGCTATTTTACCCATCTCATCTGATTGTGGGCAGAAGAGTCTGAATACAGGCCTCTCCTTTGACCTAACAATGAAAAGCTGCCAGAGCATCGTGACCTTACCTGACAGCACAAGCTGGGTTTCCATTCCAGGTTTGGAAGAGAGACTTTTAGATGTTGACTCTGTATGTAGAGATGGCATCTTTGACCCTGGCCCAAGGAAAATCGTAAGTAAATCAATCAGTTGGGACCTGCCAGTAACTGGTACAGTAGGTTTTACAGCAGTGATGGGCCTAGGGGCTTTCTGGATCTTAACCACTGAGCTTTTTGTGCCTGTAGGAATTAACAAAATCTTCCGTAAACTGGAAAATATTTGTGTTCTGACCCCAAAAAGGAGATGTTCATCCCTGGCTTATGTGAAAGCTGTGTAAAACACAGTCTTCCTTACACGCACACTGATGGGAAAGCAAAGACAAAGCAATTTGGAGATAAGCAACTCAAGTCCCTTGCCTCTTGTTCCACCCACATCTCCAGTTCTGATCCACACCCAAGCTTTTTCATCCTCCTATCGCTGGTTCACAAGCAACATTTTTACTCCCTAAAGCTCTTACCAGTAATTGCTTCAACACTGTGGGTTTCCTGCGATAAGGCTGAATGATTGTTGGACAGCACAGACATGCTGCAGGGAGCTCTGTCGTGTTTAATTTTAGGCTGGCAAACTGTTGAAGGTTAGTTTTTTGTTTCTCTGAATCCAGTCTCTTTTTGTAGTCTTTGCTATGGGTCCTAGGGGAAAAGGCATAATTGTAATGATCTCACTTACAAAGAACAGGTAGACCATTGTTAAAGTTATCCTTTAATCAACAAAGGCAGCAAGCTGGGTCCAGTGAGGTATTAGTTCAATTGATGCAATTCTGCTGCTGGGACCATTCCTGATCTGCACTGGTATAAGACACAGCAGAAAATAGCCTCTTCCGCTTGCACTAGTTTTAAGGCTATTTTAGAGCATCATTTTTTTGCTCTGAACAGCCTCCAGTTTTTATGTCTTTTGAGCTAAACTCATCTGGCCTAATTTCCATGTACGTCCTTGGTGCGTCGTGTTTCCTATTGGCTGTGTTTCTGCAGCTGCCCAATTAGTATCTTATTCTTTGGAGGTGTCAAACTTTCGCTGTTGATGAGGCACAGAGGCTGAGGTAGAACTTAGGCTGTTTGAATACATCGCAAATGTTTTCTGTCTCCTTTTCAGTTCTTGAAGTACCTTTTCCAAAAGCCTCCTTGACTGGTTGCTTAGATTTCACGTCTCTGAACTTTGCATAACTTAATGGGATATTTTTCTCTAGGGGTCCCTCACCTACATCCTGGAAAAACATAACCCCTGGTGATGATGTGAGTTTTGGAGAAATACACTTTGGATAATACACTTTCTGAAATATGCAGAGCAGTTGCAGCAAACACCTGGATGTTCAGCCCTCTTAGTGCTCACCTTGACTTCTGTAATCTAAAACCCTTCTCATAAAAATCTTCTTGTTCATGTGGTTGATTTAAATTCCTGCTACAGGGAATGGGACTGAAAAGCAGGTCTAGACAGAGGATACTTGCATTTGGAAAATAATTGTCAGTGCAACCCTCTGAGATAAGAAGTGCTTTATAATATAATTTTAGCAAAGTATAGGAATCTCTTTCTAAGATTAACTTATAAATATTCATTTTATCAAGGTATTTTTTCTTTGAGGTTGTTGGGATTTTTTAATAGATTGTTTGCACATCACTTTGGAAATAATGCCAAAAGCTACAGAAGCACTAGTTGTGCTAATTATAATTATTAAGCTCAATAATGCAAATAAAAAATTGCTTTGTTGTTAGAATCATTTGGCATATATTTCACTGCCTCTGACGTTTTTGTTTCAGTAGCTACATACCAATGGCCAGTAGCATGTGAATCAATAGATAAGGCATTCATGGTTTTAATTTACTGAAACATTTATTCAGTGCTTTTCCCTAGCATCAAGCTGCTGTGCAGAAAAAAAAATATGCCAAAGTAAACATGCAAACATTTCTAAAAAGCCATACAATAGAATCCATCCACCGTGTTCCCAGCGCACTGGATAAGCCTATGTTTTATACACTCAAATGATTTAAATGATACCATCGCTTGCAGAGAACGCTCTGGGAAACCACTGCAAGTTTTGAGCTACCGAGCAACTCTTGCAGGGACGGCTGTGTCCCATTTCCCGATAGGTACCCCCCCGCTCGCCCACGGAGAAGGAGGTGGGCAGTGCGTGTGCTTTCCTGGGGACACGCACCAGCACCTCTGCTCCTCTGAGCGAGACACTGTACCTCATGTTGAAAACAGAAAAGAAATGGCTGCGATCGCCCTCACCCCTTTATTTTTTGGTTCCTCACCCAAGGAGAGCTCCTCCCGGCTCCTCTCGGCGGGGGGGCCGTGGTCAGATGTGGCCGTGGCCGTGGGTTGGGGCCGTGGTCAGATGTGGCCGTGGCCGTGGGTTGGGAAGCGGTGCAGCTCAGCTCAGCTCTTGTTTGCTCTGCCATGGAAACCTGTGCTCCGTTGCCGGGCGGCATCGGATCCCGCAGGCACGGCAGGGATCCGTCCATCCCTCCCTTCTGGCGTTAGGCCTGGGTGTCCTGCGGCCGGGACAAGCGTCCCTACCCCGATGGAGCCAGGTGGGTCCTCCCGGAGCCCGGCCACGGCAGGAGGCTTCGCAAAAATCACCTGCCTGGCTGCAACGTAGGCGCTTCGGTAGGTCTCCCGAGCGGACAGCTCGCTGAGTTCAAACCAGATGTCTGGGTGGAAAAGGAAGAAAACTTCTGTGGTGTGAGAGGTCTCTCTGGCTTGCTGGGGGTTTTATTCATTATTTCAGTCCACGTGGCCTGGGAATCAGGTGTTTAACCCCATCCCTGCAAGCAAAGCGGTGGGTTGAGGAAATGGGAGCTGGAGCCCCTGATTGTGGAAATGACTGTAATTTATCGTTTCATAGCCTCTGCCTTGGTCTTCCCGTTTGTAAAGTCTGAACAGTCACAGTTTGGAGACTGTGTGTGGTATGGGTGAATTAACTTTCATTTACTGGAGGTTCCCCAAGTCAATACTGCTGCAGAAACCCAAATAACACCTTCCAAAATATCATATAATTCTAAAGACGATTTGATAAAATATCAGTTGAAAAAAGTAATACATTTTAATGGAGGAAAAGGTCCTTTAATCCCCATATTTACTCTTTCCTCTTTCTGAGAAGACTAAATCAGTTCCAAAAGGATCGTGTTCTTCTCTAGACTCTTTAGACTCTCTATTAATATGATTTTAGCTTTCTGAAATAGCAGTTTCTTTCATTTACCAATAGGTTTCCAAACAGCTTTCTCCATCTGAATAACTCATGCGATAAATAGCATGATTTTCTGTAAGTGCAAACTCCCATTTGATTGTTATAGTTCTTTTCTGTAATTGCTGATTATCAAGAGACTGGATTCAGGCAACAAAAGGAAAATGCTTATACAGAAAGAAATTTCTCTTTATTCTGCACATGAATGCTTTGATTTTTAGCAGTGATGCAGAAAACCATAGTGCTATCTTTAGTATATTTTGGGATATTTCCCAAATGTATTGGGGAGTATGTATAAAAATGAGACTATAGAGTAATTTCCATTACCAAAAAAAAAAAAAAATCAGGAATAAATTGTACTTAATATGCATTTTTCTAAAGGCATAATATCAAATGGTCTTTGTTCAGAAATACCAGTTTATTACAGAATTGTGAATTTGCAGCAGTGGTTACATCACAGAAATAGATAACAGAAAACTAAGACATTTGAACAGCTATGGCTCTGTCTGGCTTAATCTCTGTATTAATGAATGATACATTGATATATCCATTGCTCTGTTCTGTGCTATCCTTGCTAAACACTTATTTCCCCAAACTGGAACAGAGATTATTTAAAAGCAGAGAAATATTTTGTGAATTCTTGGAAATGTGCAAGCTCTTCATAGCTTTGGTTCATTGTCCATGTCCCACACACGCTGTAAGCCACTTACTTAGGCTTTGCACTTCCTTGAGGGCAAAGAAATTAAGGCCAGAAGGACATCTGGGGTCTATTCTTAGCCACCATTAACCTGGTTAATGAATGGAATAAATAGCATGTGCAACATCATGGGAAAATCTGCCTGGTGGCATAGGCTGTGCAGTTGACCAGTGCTGCAGCCTGTTAGAGATTTCTGGGCTGGGTAACGTCGCTCAGGGCACCACGTTCTGGGGCCTTATTAAATGTCTGGACAGTGCTTCCTTGGTGCACAGCTGAGAAAGACAGGCAGTTTGCATGGTAAGAATGGCAGGTTGCTGCTTATGTTTCCAACAGGATCTGCGGTTTCGGGGCCTTTAGGGGATGGTTTTGTTAGGACATGGGACTGGGATTTCAGGATATCGTTATTTTTTTGCTCCCTTAATTTCTTTCTTGAAGGGGTTACTTGTCTTCTCCACTCTTTGGTCACCCAGTTTGTGGTGTGAAGAGGTTAGTTGTCTCCTCCATTCAGTCACCCCATTTGTGACATGGGGATGCTGATCCCTACCACAGAGGTGTCGCGAGGGTTAATTAGTGTTGGCAAAACACTTTGAAATGGCTGATTGAGAAACACTGCCAAAGATGAAAGCTGAATAAGTATCTAGATAAATAAATATTCCTTTGTAGTCTTATCATTAGGGAAAACTCCCTGTGTAGCCAGGATACTGCCCAGGTCACTGAGCAGTCGTCTCCCCATTGCCTGGAGTCTTCTCAAGGGGGACTCATTTATTTAAGTATTTCACTTCAGTTTCTGCGATGTGAGCCACAATACATACCACCAAAGAGAAAAGTCTGGCAGTAACAAGCAAACACCACAGAAATACTAATGGATTGGCAGGTTTTTTCTTTTTCTGAAGCCCTTGTTCCTCTGTTTCCTGGTGAATTGTGTGGCTGCAGAACCCGGAGCATCCCAGGAGGGAGAAGGGGAAGTTGGACCCTATTCCCAAGGTTAGACACAAGGAAGGAGGAGGGCTCCTCAAGCGAGTACCCGCAAGACACAGCCTGTAAGAGCTCTGCTGAAGGCAGTGCAGCCGGCTCTCTGCCTCAGTGTGGTCTCTGGTGAGCTGTCAGGAGAAGTTTTTC